CAGCGGGGCCCGCCCCCGTCCAGGCTGCCGGGACGCCGGGGTTTGGCCGCCGCTGCCGGGTCGGGAGCGGGGTCCGCGGCCGCCCCTGGGTGTAGCCCCGGGGGTTGCTCCGTGTTTATCCGGGCCGGGCCCGGGAGGTGAGCTCCTCACCGAGCCCGTCCCGCGGCGCGAAGCGGTGGGTGATGTTTTGGGGAGCCGTGGGCGTGCGGGGAAACGTGGGCTCCTGAGCGGTGTCCCACGCGGGGAGGGGTTGAGGGAAGGCAGCCCTCGAGGTGCGGAGGGGTGCAAGAGAGCCTGGGTGGACGTGCTGTAGCTTTATTAAAACGCTCTGTTTGTTTCCATCCAGGTCTGCTGCGTGTTGTGTAGCTGAGAAACGTACAGTACGCAGCGCCAAGGTTGTGGCTGTTGTTATAGATAAAGTAGCAATCTCGGTGATTTCTGTAAGGGTTCAGGTTCGAGCAAAAAGGACATCACTGTGCTGTGTGTGATTACAACAGTAAATGCTTTCGGAACAATCAGGCGAATTCGGTGAAGAAGATAATGTCATGGGACCTTGAAAGATACAGAAGCTTTACATTTTGTGTAAATAATGCATCAGTTGCCCTGGAGTTTTCCTGGATTATACTAATTTTGTTAGTTTGTAATAGGGGGAGAAACACAAGGTGTTGCTTGGGTATTGCCCTCAGCCTGTGGCAGGTGGTGTTTGCAAGGGGGGTTGGGCGTTTGCCCTGTGTTCCAGTCTAGCTCTCTTCAGCTGACAAGGCAGAGGCAGTGGCAGTCCTAGGCAAGGGCTAGGGGGAAAGCTCTCAGATATGCGTGGTCTCTTGTACAGTTTTGTGTTTGGGCAAGTTTATAACTCAAAGTGCTCTTTCTTGCCTCCTCTGGGCTGTCGTGAAGTTGGGAGATGCCCCCATCTGCTACGTGGAGTGGCTACCATCTAAATTCATGGTGGTCCATGTGCTGCTACTAGTAGTATGCCTGCAGTTTGGGAGAGCATGTTGACAAAAAACTTTATAAAACATAGTATGATACATAAGTCCTTTCTGGTTTGTTTGTGTTTTTTTTTTTAAAAACTTCATGTTTCTGTAAGGAACTAGATACCAGGTGACGAACAAATCTCATAAAACTTTTGTACCAAAATGCTTAAGGGTACATTACAGTTCAGAGGAAGTACTAATTCTTGCCTATTCACTCATGATTTAATGTTAAGTAAACATAATTGTGATTCTTTTACATAATCATAATGAAACAACTATCAGTTTACATTTCCATGCAGTACAGAAGTATTGTGAATGGCAGTTGTTCCTCAGGGACATTTCTGAACAGGTAAACTAATTATGTAACTGAGACAAGATGTTTTTATGATCTCAGCCTTTTATAAGTTGTTTCTTACAAACAGTGAGACCCTTGACTATTTAAGAAAAAAAAAAAAAGGCATCCCATAACCATGCTGTAAACAAATGATTTAATTCAGGGTTTGGGCAGGCAGAAGGGTAAGCCTGAGCTCTTGCATTGAAACTGCATACACTATACATTAGGTGTTTATACAAATTAAACTGAAATGCCATTGAACTAATTTGAGGTACTTGCAGTGGTTTGCCTGTTAGTTAGGAATTTTCCAGCAGAATACTGTTTTTGCAAGATTGCAGCTCTTGGCAAGAATCTTCAGTTTTTCCCAGAATGGCTTTGTTGGGGAAACTGAAACAAAAGCTCTTGCTCTTGAACAGCTTGCTTTTTCTACTCTGCCTCCTGTTTTGACTTCTTCGTTAACAGATTTAGTAAGGAGCTTGGAGAATGAGTTACCATAAAAGCCAGAGAAAATTTTTAAGTGGAATATTTTAGATCATAGAAGTTACCTTTCACAGAACTTTTGATTCTTGTTTACATGCCAAATAAAATTGTTTTTTAATGGGAACTTTAAGAATTTTCTGTGAAAGGTAAGTCTGAGATCTGACCAGCTCTGGTGTTTTTGCAAGGGAGATCAAAGGTAAGGATGTTGTAGGGTTTATTTTCTCTCCCTCTCTTCTCTTCTCTTAGCACTGAATATTGGATTCAGCCTATGGTAATGTGTTACAGAATCGTTCCAACCTGTTTTCTCCATTCAGACCCTGGATTTCAGGATGTACTGCTTGTGTTGTGTTTGCATACCAACCAGTACATTTACACGAAAGAGAAGTTGTAGCTGTTGGCCTGGGCTAGTAAATCTCATCTCTAAACATCACATCATGGATCCCTTAAATTTCTCCTGTTCCACCTCCTATCAAATGGCAACTGTTTGATCTCTTGTGGGTGTAAACGGAGTGAAACTTCTCTGAAAACTGTAAATGATGTCTGGTCATTTGTACTTGATGTTTTAGAGAAAGAGAGTCAATGCATTCTTCTTAGCGAAAAGCACAGTGCTTATGCCAATTGCTACTGGCTTTTATTTCACAATATAAGCTTTGTTTATTTTTTATTTACAGCTAGGTAAAAGCTGTCTAAAACTTATGTGTCTAACAGGTGCATTTTAAACTGGAGGATTCTGATAGTGATGTGTCTTGAAAGTGCATTATGATTATCAGTCTTTAGAACAAGGTATTACTATTGGTCAGATTAGTTTTAAGAAATTGTATTTGTGTAGTGCTTTCGTTCATCCCAAATTAGCAGCTGAAACAAAAAGATACAATCCAGCAACTTCTTGTAATTTGGATCTAATTACAGTCTTATATTTGGATCTGTTTGCCTATGCAGTTCCTTGGTGGTTTTTAGGCATGGGGATTGTAGGATAGTGTCTCAAAATTTTTATTCTACTGACCATAAAAATTAATTTCTGCAGTCACATTCACTAAGTGCTGATCAATGGCTGTTGATAACACTAGTGATGACCAGTGAAACTTGCTTTAGAAATCAATAGAACTAAAGTTGCCTTGAGAAGGGAGCTCATTTTATATCTATAATCCTGTGTTACTTAAATGGATGTGCTGCCTCCTAGTTAGAAGTGTGACTGTGGTGAAAAGTCTTAGGGCTTTAAAAACTGGTTTTACTGTATGTTTAATTTAACCTCCTCTGGAAAAAAGTTCAGAACTTATTAGATGTTTGTAGTGATAAAAAACCACTATCTTGATAAATCTTATTCTGTTTTTATCTGTGGCATTGAAGCTGGTTTCAGTTACTGGCTATATGCCATTTATAAATTTGTTCTGTTGAATGATGTTCAAAGCAATATGCAAGCTGCAGCCATTCCAAACATGATAAATTCCCACGGAAATGATCAGTCTTAACAATTTTCAGTTATTCTGAAGACTCGATATGATTAATTAAAATCATTACTTGAAGTAGCTGGGACTTGGGGGAAGAGCAATTTGGTTTCCATTCTCTGCCAACAAACTAAAAAAGTTCTTACATACCTGTCTCTGGAGTGCTTTGGCTTGAAATAATAGCTGTCATAGCATTTGAAACTGAGCTTATATTAAGAGGTACTTTTTGATAGGAAGGAAATGGCGTTTGCATTTGACAAGTGTTTCTTTTCACAGCGATAATTCACAGGTGTTCCAGGCTAACGTTTTGCGAACCCGCAGGAACAGTACCACAGTTATGAATCGTCATAGTCTGGTAAGAAAACTATTAGACCAACTGCATTAGGTCCAAAGCAGAAGTGTGCAAACAGGATTAAAGAAGAAAATGAGATTGTAGTCTGTGAAACTAATACCACATGTTCTCAGAAACAAGGCTCTAGACTGTGACATTAATACGCTGCAGCTATAGTGAAATGTTATTTATAGACCATTTGACCTTGGAGAGTACTTATATTTCATTGTGATCATAACTTCGTTTATAAAATGCAAGCAGATGTTCTAAGGTAGAGTAAGAAAGGTAGTTTGCAAGGAAAACTAATTATGTAGATGTATTGTTGTTCAGCAATCAATGTGTTAATAATTTCTGGTGCTTAAAAGGCAGCGATGTTCTGATCTTAAATTGTCTTTTATATGGTAATGGCAAAATAGACTGTTGTAATCAACAACTGATAGAACAAGATAGAACTGGCTGATAGAACATGAATCTTGAGACTTTCAGAATGAATGATTCCATATCTCTTAGAGACGCTCATTCATTATTTCAACTTTTGTCAGACTGCTGTTATTACAGTTCCCCAAATCTGAATTTTTAAAATATTAATCTAAACCCATGGTGCTTCAACCCAGAGAAAATACTGCATATCTTGTGGTTTAGTGTCCTACAAATTGTGGTAGAAGGGTGTGATTTTTGACTGATTTAGAACACCTGCACAGGATCACATAGACAGCATGGTTTGCTAACCCTTAAAGGGTTAGGGTACATGGGATAGCTATTTCCTCTAACCTAAAGGAATTTTTGGTCACTTTCATGTAACCAAAATATAACTTTTTCCCCTAAGACAGCCTTAAGAAACAGATAGACACAAGATTATATCCAGCTGCATTCAGCTGATTATTAGTGTTTTGGAAAAAATCAAGCTATGTTGGGATGGGAGGGGAGTAGCAGAAGTTTTCTTTTTAGGTATATTAAAAAAAGTCCCAGTAATGCTAACAGCAATTATCCTGTTTTTCTTAGCTACCTTTTGAAGATGCTTTAGAAATAATTTGTTAGCCCCATGTTAATGGTTGTAGAATACTACTCTACTGTTTTCTTGACTGATGCCCCTTAGCTAAAATTCTGTTTTAAAATCAAGACAGACAACTACTTTGCATCTGTAACAGAACCGGGATACTTATGTAAAAGTCTAGGAAAATTGGTGTAAAAGGCTTTCTCCTGCTAGGATGTAAAACCTGATAGAATGTATCATGGTATAGATTTCTTTGAACAACAGTCTCTTTCTTCGTATATATTTTTAGGGTGGCAGCATAGGGTAAATTTGTTTATGCATATGGTCAGATGAAAGGAGAAACAAACAAAGGTGGAAGCTGAGTTTATTGTGTCTACTTCTTAAAGATCCTCGATTGTTGGGCAAAAAAAGATGCTAGTTTAGGGTGCGTTGCCTGGAATTTTCTGGGAAGTAGGAGCTAGTTCACTGATGGGCTAGCTCTTCTGGCTGCCCCTAATAGAAGTTGCAATCTTCTGGACTGAACCAGTGTTCCCATCTTCATGGGGTGATGTTCTTAACCACTTCACCTCACTTTAAGGTAATTAAAAAGCATCCTGAAAGTTAACTTTCTTCTTCACTCCCAGCAGACCAGGTGCTGACAAAATACAGTTGAAATTTTACTTATGCTAAAAATCAAGTGCTACATTGACTGCTAGATCAGTGCCTCGTCCACTTTGAAATATTTCTTTGAATTATGGTCTGGGTAATGGTTCTGTTGAAGATGACAGGGAGAATGGAATTGGAAAGAAGCTTAGAGATTATCTCATCCTTCTGTGTTCTTAAACCAGGATCATCCATAGATAAATGATTCTGTGAAAATAATTAAACTTTCAGCATTAAGGACCCTAAGCAACCTCACCTGGTATTCTTTCTATAGCAAAGAAATAAGCATAGGTTTATGATGTTTAGAGATTTTCTAAGGAGTGAGAAGACATCTACTTTGGTAAATTAAATTTTAGAATCAATAGGTGATAAAGTGTACTTCAAAACCCACTTTTTTGTATTTAGGAAAACTAATCCAAGTTTTATTGCAGTGTAAGCTCTTATAAAGAGGGTGAAAAGATTCACTAGGTAACTGAATTTAATTTGTTAATTTAGTAGTATAAGTACAACTAAAATTTCATGTTTTGCTAGACTGGGGGAAAAAATTTATTAGCATTTGTCTAATCTGGGTTGTGTTCACTGTCATGGGAACAGTGGGAATTGCTAAAATGCTTTGATAACTGAAGGTCATACTCTATGTAGCTCCATCTTCAGGGCTGTTTTGGTTGCTCAGCTGAATTCTAAAATCTTTTCTTTTTTGAGTAGCTTGTCCAAGTCTCAGATTCCAAGTCTTTTATAGTGATGACTACAGTGGCAGCTATGCCATTTTGGCTGGGTCTTAATCTGCAATTTTCTGACACTACATGTAATTGCCAAGGAAGGGTTAGCTAGGCTCAGTATCTGCTGTTTATTTCCTTCCAGAAGGTATCAGTGGCATCTATTGTGTAAATGTTTTGGTGGTTTTTGTTTTGTTTGTGTGGTTGGGGTTTTTTTTTGTTATTTAAGCCAAACATTTTAGTCTGTGGTTAGCTGTTTAGGTGCTATTTCAGCAGAAGTTGATTTTTTAAAATTTTATTTATTTTAAGCTGGGTAAATTCCCTATTAGGGTTCATGGTGTGGCCCCACAAAGGCCTGCGCTGGCAGAAGACAGGGGGCACTGCAGGGACAGCAATGGAAGGGCAGAGGCACCAGGGGCAGGTGACTGCTTACTTTGGCTGTGCTGCCTGCCAGACTGGCACTTCTGAAACTTTACCTTTAGTGAAGAAGGTTAATCTAACATGCTGGAGAAGGGGGAAAAGGAAAGGTGTTTCTCTTCCATGTGATAGTCTAATAATTTGTAATGTTTTTTACTGAGCTTTGTGCTCTCTTAAAACATTGGGGATTTGAATAGTATGATTTTAACAAATGTGTTCAATCTGCTTTAGCAAGTATCCTTTAAAACTGACTGAGGGTTCTTTTCACAAGAATTAGATCAAAGCACTACAAACAGGGAAAAAGTGAGTTTTAAGCACTGACGAAGCAAGGATCATGACTTGTTGGAAACAAGATGTAGGATCCTCAGAGTTAGTGGGTTTAGTTAGTGCATTAGATCCTGCAGAGGAACACTTAAACTGTCTTTCTGTAATTTTTATTTTACACTGTGAGCCACTGGTTTTGTATATATTCTATTAATGTCAAACCTTAAAGCATGTGGATCACAGTCATAAAATTAAAATATAATGAGTGGAACAAATGCATTTCTACTGTGGAATGACAGAGTGAATAGGCAGGAATGTACTATTGTCTAAATCCTTTTCTCTGTGTGAGAATCAAGGTCAACTCAAGGTCCACATTGGCTGGTACAGCTTGGAGGAATTTTTATTAGGTGCACAGGATTTTTGGGAGCCCAGTATAATAGTAAAGCGAACCTAAACTGGACTTAAGTAGCAGCAAATCAAGACATTATAGCTGTTAGACTTTAGTAGCATATATTACAATGACTAAATTCTGTGTCGTGGTTTAACCCCAGTCAGCAGCTAAGCACCACGCAGCCGCTCACTCACTTCCCCCCAACCCAGTGGGATAGGGGAGAGAATCGGGGGGCGGGCAGGAAAGAAGTATAACTCGTAGGTTGAGATAAGAACAGTTTAATAGGACAGAAAGGAAGAAAATAATAATTATGATGATAACAATAATAGAATGACAATAAAAATAGTAAAAGAATTGGAGTATACAAAACAAATGATGCACAATGCAATTGCTCACCACTCGCCGACTGATGCTCAGTTAGTTCCCAAGCAGCATTTTGGCCCACCCCGGCCAACTCCCCCCAGTTTATATACTGGGCATGACATCACATGGTATGGAATGTTCCTTTGGCCAGTTTGGGTCAGCTGCCCTGGCTGTGTCCCCTCCCAACTTCTTGTGCCCCTCCAGCCTTCTTGCTGGCTGGGCATGAGAAGCTGAAAAACCCTTGACTTGGTCTAAACACTACTTAGCAACAACTGAAAACATCAGTGTGTTATCAATGTTATTGTCATATTGAATCCAAAACGTAACACTATACCAGCTTCTAAGAAGAAAATTAACTCTATCCCAGCTGAAACCAGGATATTCTGGCACAAACATTAGATATCCTCTCTGTGAGTCTGATAGGCTAATATCTTTTGTGAGAAGAAGGGTGTGATGTCTTGATGGTTTTTTTAGTTTTGTTGTTTTGTTTTTTTGGTTGTTTTTAGAAGGAGGATTCTGCATATATGAAGCATTAATAGTCTGTGATAACTTACCATAACCTTTTGTTTAAGACAGCAAAATCTTTGTGTTCTCCATGGCATTGATTAGAAGATGGTGCAGTAAATGGTTAACTGAATGTTTGTTAGTTCTCCAACTTTAGCATGATGAAGAGCTGTAGTAATGTTTTGTGAAGCCTCATGCCGCATAAAGTATATAAACACTAAGTAATAATGCAAACCTTACATGCTGAATGCACATCCATTTTAAAAAGACACCTTGTTTTTCAGAGGGATTGCCAGCTTACAGAGGAGAAGTTAAACCTCTATTCCAAGTTTTAGCTTTGAATTTTTGATCCCTGAATGGATTATGACAGAAGTCAACTGAGGGTCAAACATTTGAGGGATGGTAAAGGAAATTATATTTTGAGTAAATAATCACTTTTAATGACTTGGGTTTGAATATACAGTTTTAGATCATGGTATTCCACTGAGATCTTGATGCAAAACTGACAAAATTAACAGAAGACCATCTTTAGTGACATCCTCTCCAATTTCACCTGAATTGGTGAAGCTCTTGAGAAACCATAAGGAAGGTATTTAATTCTTTGTTAGCCTTCTAATAGCTGATTGTTTTCACCTGTCAAAGTACTCGTTTATAGGCAGACAACAATCCAGAAACCTTTTTGCACAATGTGTTTGTTTGGCTTTGTATTTTTAAAGGATCTATTTGGGAGCCTTCTGGATCACTTAAATGAAAATATTTATGCAACCATATGTATTAAGGGTGGCAGCGTGCTAGTTAAAAGCAGCTTCATTCTGTAGTAGAAAAGGCTGTGAATTCTAGTTGCCTGGAAATGAAGTGAAAGCCAGGCTGATACAAATTAGCATCTATGAGCATACAAAGCACTATAATATGGAAATGCATAATATGTTCTTGCAAGTAATTAATGTAGTTTATATGTACTGAGAATGTTATAAATGGTTTGGGTTTTTTAATTTACTTTTTTTTTTTAGTTTGGGATAACACTATAGAGTGGTTACTAACATTCCTGCACCTTTCCCTTCCTCCTTCTGTAGTTTCTAAGTGTGTTTCAATTGTACGTGGCTTTGTTTTGCAGTTTGTGCCATCATCTCCCATCCGTATTCCTAGCAGCCGTCTTCATCAGATCAAACAGGTAAGCATAGATTCTAATTTTTTTTTAAATTTGATATTGTTTATAGGCAGTTGGTTTTTTGGCAGTTAATGTGTAATGTCCTTCAAATGGCTATAGATTTTACTTTGACACTGTAGTATAGTCTGCTGCAGTCTGTCATTTCAAGGTGTTTTCAAAATTAAAGGCTGTATCTTGTCAGCAGAGTTCTAAATTTCATGAAGTAGATAGCATCTTATAGTGAGAAGAAGATTTGAGCAGAAAGAGAAATCTTAAAATGGACATTTTATAAAGGAAACCTTTAATGTAAACCCTTAGGTTGAAGTTTCACCAAGTTTTTGGCAGTAGTGCCAGCATAAATATTCAGGCCCAATAACAAAGTGTTCCTTAACTTGTGTTGGCACAAGACTTTTGTGCAGCCAGCAAATCAACTGGATAAGGAAGCACTCTGGCTAAAAAATAGTTTGGACTCCTCTGGCTAGGCTATTTTTCATCTGTATAATTTTCTTATTCAGATTGCTGTACTTGTGCTGTCACAGCATGAGCAGAGGGGGAAGGGCTCTAGAGCAAACACTTAGGAAGGGAGCGGGAGTGTGGCAAATATCTGAGTAGGCTTAAATAGCACTGCTACCAGACAACAGACCGCAGTCTAAAGACTCAAGTTTTAAAATCAACAAGCTCAAACTCTTGTGGCTCCTCCATTTTAGATGTCGACTTTTTGACAGTAGAATGTTTATAAAATTGTCTTGAAGAGGCTTGATTTTTTTTTTTAATACTTCCTTTTTTAGCTTGCTACTTTTCAATGGGTAGGCTTGATTTTTACATGATGAAAAGTAAGAAAACAATTTAATACTTCAGCATTTTCAGAGTATGATGTCTGAAATGATGGAAGGCACTTCTGCTTTACACCTCAGATATTTAAGGTGCATGCATAGTAATCCTGAAGAAAGTAACTGCTTGCTTTCATTATGTAAATAATTTACTGGCTTAAAGAGACTCTGAAGCACTCAAGTCAGTTGTAGAGCTGATTTTGTCAATATAAAAAAGCTTAGGATTAATATGTAAATGTGATGAGAGCAAGGGGATGAACTGCTGTGGCTATATTGCTATATTACTTGAAGTAAAGTTTGAAAATTCAATTTTTTTGAAAATACTTCTGTGCTCATAATTGTTCCATACATATGTTAAAGCGAACAATGACATTTCCTAATTTGTGTTTGATCATTAAATTCACAAGTTGAAATTCCATGTACTGTATACTTACTGGCAAAGATGGGAATCTGTGTGATTTATTTCTGGATCTCTTTCAAATCTTAGCAAATAATCACACAGTTGGACTATGTTAGTAAGACTCTTCCTACATATGATGAAGATTGTGAAGATGTTTAGTTGAACTTTTATTCTTGAACTGGCTTGAATTAGTGAGTCTACTCATCCACTCAACAGGCTGGATAGCATTTAGTTAGTTTTAAGGAATGGTGTCTACTGAAGAGGAGATTGAGTCAAGTTTGTACTTTAACTTGGTGTTAATGTTTTGTTTAATTTTGCATCTTCGATCTGTTTTAATAATATTTTACGGATGTTTTAGAAAAAAACCCACTACATCCCAAATTCATTGTGTACAGTGCACTGTATAGTAAAGGAAATTCTGACAAGTATCTAGTTAGTTACTAATCCATAGAATAAAGCTAGAATCCAGCCATGCTTCTGAGGATTATCTGTACTAGTTTCCACTTTTTGAGGTACTATTATGCAAGACTCATAAATACACTCTAGCATGTGCAGAATTTTTGGTTCACTTTATCATTGTTCAGTTTTGTAACTACCTCTTTGATAGTAACGAATACGAAAAAGCTGCTTGAGAAACAACCAACTCCCATAAGCACTTCTTATGTGATGGTGTCTCTTTCTACATCTCTTTGCCATCCTCTCCCCCTCACTCCTTTTCATGTAGTGAGAGCTTAAGTTTATTGTTGCTTGACCGAGTTGAATTAAATTTTCCACATACCAAGTTGAAATGAAACGAGCTTTTCTGATTTGCTGTAGCAAAGCTTTTTTTTTATTGGTCTTAATTTTTCATCTGCTAATCTTTTAGGAAGAAGGAATGAATTTGATGAACAGAGAAACAGTACGTGAAAGGTAAGCATTAAGGCAAACTAGAATACTTCATGCATTCTTCTATGGGCCTGGGACAATACATTTCTTTTCTTCTTTATAGAGAAGTGCAAGTAGCAATGCAGATGAGCCACTCATGGGAGGAGAGCTTGAGCCTGGTAATGCATTCGTGCTTTAATTGTGTTTCTATTATCAGTATCAGGACACTAGAGACACTCTCATGTCAACATTTTCTTTTATAGTTTGACCTACAATTAAGGTGTTAGTGTATCACTATTTTTGAGCAACAATTTTTCACACTAACAAGGCATAGAATTATCAGTTGTTCAAGGATACATGTAGGTTCCTTGGGCTGGTATGTCAAAAGAAAATTGCATGGATGTCTGCCTGTTCAAATTTTCTTCCGTGTTCTGATACTCACCAAGTAATGTTTAAGGCTTTTTGTTGTTGTTGAGCATAAGCTCATAAATGGCTACCTAAAAATTATTAATATGATGGAGGAAAGCTTGGGAATCTTACTCAATTCCACACCAATCAGTCCTTTTCATGTTAAGGTACTTGCTCATAAGATTAATTATATGTACTATTTACAGAGCGACAATGATTTTGAAAAATCATCATCGCCAAAGCAAGTAGACTTTGTCCCAGTTTCTCCAGCTCCTTCACCTACCAGAGGAATAGGGAAGGTGAGCAAAAAGTGGTAGTAATGGTTTTATCTTGAGTAGTGCTAAATAAATTCAACCAAATTAGTAGCAAAACATTAAGCCACCTGCTCCATTCTACCTCAGCTGCAAATAAGAAACTAGAGAGTAAACAAAAAAAAAGTTAAAACCCCAAAGCAGAAAATACCAGCTAGCAGTTGCACATCTTGTGGATGTGCATTTCTGTGGACTGTTCAACTGTTAATCTGTCATTAATAAACCTTATTCTTTATTTGCCACCTTCTTGGAATAAGAGGAAGGGGCATACATTCTTATTGTATGAACCATAGTCTGTTTAACCAGACTATGGTGAAATAAATCTTTGTCAACTTGCATGTATTCTGCATGAAAATGGAATCTGTCCAATTTTTTACCGTTTTTTTTTCTCAGTAACAAAAAGCGGTATCTCAGTATACCCAGCCATATTTGATTGGTTGCTTAAATTGGTAGTGGGTTGCTATCAGTTCACCTGCAATAAAGATGAGTTATTACCATATGGGTGTGATACAGTGTTTATACGTAAATAACGCAAACTGTTTTACTCTCAGCAATGTTTCTCACCATCTTTGCAAAGTTTGGTGAGTAGCAGTGGGTTACCTCCAAGTCCTAGCCCAAGTCCAACAAGGCGATTTTCAAGGTAAGTACCAGATCATATCAATAATAGAAAGTTGGTGTAGCTTGTTCACAGTAGGCTTTTGAAATACCAGAATTTGTTATGTACATACTTGATTTCTGATCACAAATACAGCTTTAATATATTCATGGAAACTTTAGGTTTTACAATGCTCTAAAATATTTGTTAAAATTCTCATGTCATAGTGTTGGGAAAGTGGGCTGCACTGTGGCATCTCTCTTCTCAGTGTAGTCTCTATATTGCTCTTAATCACATCTGAAGTAATTGAATCGAATTCTAAGGGGAAAAAAAACCCAAACAAACAGATCTAGGGTTTGTTACTGATTCTGGTTTTAGTTGCATGGGATGTTTTGAGTGATGTGGGCATACAATTAAATTTTATTAGGCCCTAACAGTTCAGCAAAGTACTGCCTGTCAGCTGAGAAGTAGTCAGTACCTAGATATGTGCTTTTAGACTGCCCCAGATGTGAAATAATGTGATTAAACTTTTTCTGTTAAGGTCTTTCTTCAGGAATAAAAAAAAAGGACTGACTTTGGATAAGCTGTTTTAATGCCTCTTTTCTTAGTGTTTTCCATTTAGCAATTTGTTATCTGAATATCTTTTGATTCTTTATGTGTTTTCAGGCTTCCTTTGTTAATGGTGATAAGTATAGCATATGCCTTCTTTTAGCAGGAGAAGCCAGAGTCCAATTAACTGCATTCGACCAAGTGTTCTTGGGCCAATAAAAAGAAAAGGTACAGTATTTGATTTTGGCTAATATGCCAATGTGTTAATTTTATCATAATTCATATAGCTTTCCTCATAATTCTGTTCAATGGGCTGATACTTCAGAGTGACTAGAAATAGTCAGTATTACAGATGACCAAATAAATGGAACTGTTTGTAGGGATGAAACAGATAAATTAGCTTTTACTGTTCAGTAAAACTAATAATTGTTCTGTTCTTATGCCTCTCCATTGCTGTAGTCATACAGATCTGATAAGAAACTAATGTAACCTGCTTAACAAAACAAGAAATACAACTATTGGTATATTTCACAATAAAAAATTTTGAAAGTCCTGGCTAACTGAAGCACACAGGTACTGTAGATTTAAAATCGTCCTTCAAAATCAAAAACTGATGCAGAGACCTGATAGATACCTTAGAGCTTTTTTGGGAAATGTTTCTCTTATCTTCCTACATTTTTCTTCAAGTTTAACTCCTGGTTATTTTATTGCATCTGGTTTTATATCTTCATGATTCACCTTTGTAAAAGAACACTTCTGGCTCTGAGACAGCTTTTAAAATACTTCTATCTGAGTTCTGTCATAGCCTGTTTAAGCATATATCTTTGCTCTCTTCCTAGTGTATTTGGAAATCAAAGTCAATATATAAGTTTAGTGACAATCCTGAACTTTGTTTTTATTGATTGCAAGAGGAAAAAAAGCTTTCCTTATTCTCAGCTGCTTTACTTTGGTGGAGCTAGGCAGTGAACTGATAGCTGAATAAACTGAACCAAAAAGATTATTCTTCCCTACTCTAAGTACAGATACTATCTGTATCTTCTGTACTAAGATATCTAAACCTCAGTTCATAACGCACTAAACTTTCCTGAAGCTTGGACTAAAATGTTTCCAAGAAATAGACAGCCTTTAAAATTTCAGCATTTAATGTCTATGTTTTGCTTATAAAATAACACTCTATTGTAACAAGTTTGAACCTCTATTCTGTTTGCTCTGTAGAATTACATTGAAAGTAGATTTTAGTTTAAATGAGTAATAATTTTTATCACTTCTTATCTCTTACCAAAGGTGTAACAGAGATAGAAGATCATCCAAAAAGATTATTCCAAGGATCCACCAACATGCTTTCCCATGAAGTTTCACATCAGGCAGACCTTGGGGGATGGTAAATGCTGTGCTATTTATTGTGTCAATTTCATCATAAGCGCTACAACTCTTTTTTTCATCTAGCTATGATCATGCTTGAAGTTTTTTATTATTATCAATACAGACATCCCGTAATTCTGAAACACTGAAATTATCACACTAAACGGGCGGTAATATTCACTATAATTTTACAATTTCTAGGACTGACTGTTAACATGCTTCACGTATATGGGAGTTGAGCATGTCTAGGAAAAGATACCTCATAGCTGGCAATTTTTGGAGTGTAGTTTCACATTGCAATCAAATGTGAATGCTAATGCTTGTGGATGGATTGGGGTTTTTTTTCTTCTTTTTTCCCCTTGCTCTTAGTCATATAGGAAAATTAGTCTGTCTCACACTCCCTGCTGGGAGGAGATAAAAAGTACTACATAAAAAATCATGACTTGAAATAGCAAGGGATTTTGATTTAGTATTTTAGTCAAGACGTTAATAATACATAGGGTGTACCCACACAACTATCAAGACAGGGTTGTTCACAGTACATTTGTCGTTTTTGCTTCTCGGCCAATGTACATAGCTGTGCACAAGCTTTGAGCCCATTGCAGTGGCAACAATAGATGTTTTAAAGGTACTTTAAAAACATACCTTTTTGCACACCCTATTCATCGTTGGCATGGCAGTGCAGGTTCAGTTGCTGCATCTGAGTTTAGGAGGTGGTAATTTTTAAAAACAATTTCATGCTATTGCTGATGATAGATCACCTATAGTTATAATTTTTGTCCTGTGAAATATGTAGTGAATGGTACAACTGAAGTGTGTGCAGTTCATCGTTGGCTTTCCTTACAAAAGAGGCCTCTGGATATATGCTAGCCCACGACCTTGTAGGAGATGGGGTAAAGCTTGCAATGAATTGCTCAGCCCGATGCTTCTAATCTGTATGCCATTTCTGGGTGAGCTGAAGGAGGAAATTGGCAGAATGTTATCTGTCTGATTGGAAGTGACTGCAAGGTGTGTAGCTGCAGATTTATTTCAAATCATAGGGCTAGTTCCTTCAAAGATGTACGTTTGTTTTTAAAATGGCTTTATAATGAATGGAGGCTCGTATTTGAAACTTACCAGGAAGAGTAGCTCATTTCTTCTGTCTTGATGTTACTCTGTTTTCAGTCTGTCGTCACATGCTCTTGATGACAACAGAAGCAGTGCAGGCTCTTCCTGTGACTCACCAGCTGAAGTCGGCACCAACACAGACTCTCCAGTCTCACTTTCTGACCCCAGATCTCCTTTTTTACCAGTAGATCTTGCGGCTAAGTTACCTATTGATTGAGAAGCAGAAGTCTGCTAATGGACACCAAGAAACAGGCTGGACATCAATAAGACTTTCTGTTGTGTGTAACTGATTCTGTTCCTCATAGGAACTTTCAGAAACGTCATTATTTCTAGAAAACTTCCAGAATAGTTCCTTGAGGAGGAATTCACATTTCTAGTGATTTGTATGACATTTACTAAAATACAGTAAGCATTTGAATTGCAAACATATTTGATGCTAACATCAGTATGCAAGCTGTTGATTTACAATGAGTATTGGCTTGTTGGCATAAGTTACAAATACTGTGTGTACATTCTGCTTGTGGAAGACTTGGCTTTCCATCAGCCACCAGGCAGTGTCCTCACTAATACAAAGTGGTGCTTATGTAGTAACAGATAACTTTCACATTTGTCCTCAGTTTGAAATCAATGAAGCAGCTTACTAATTTGTTTTTATTTCCCGAGTGTTAGATATTTATATTTTTTGTTCTTCATATGAAAGGGGGAACACTAGGTGGAGGGAATTGATTCTTGTCTTCTATTATGATTGGCTGTTAATCAATTCTGTGTTCTAATAGATGTCAAAAGGACAAGTTGGTGAATTGTCAACTTGAGTTTATATGTTGGATTTCATTCATGATCATGACTGCTGTTGTGACTAAATTCAAATTAAGTGTGGATGGTCGTCTGGGGTTTTGTACTGTGGGTTTTTTTTTTTCTTCCCCATTTAGATGATGTATTAGAGTGGTAGATCCTCTGTTAAAGGTCTTTTAATAGGGAAAAATAGTAATCATGTTTGGATCAAAACATTAAATCCTGAAGTTTTAGTATTTAGTACTTCAGAAGTGCATTATTTTAAGAGACAGTATTTGTCCTCATATATGACTTTTGTTGGACAAATACAGTGAGGAATCTTGAATGCCTTTTTACAGGCTGAGGTGATCAAACATATTTAATCTGTGTTTAATCTCCTGATGTTGCTTCCTCAAACAAGGGCATCAAGTTATTTCTGCTGTTGAAAACTTCAGATGCTGATTGGAGGCCTAGAATATTGTAATCTGAGATGTTTCAGAATTCTTGTACTGTGTTTGAAAAGTCAGTGGGTTGAGGCATCCTGATCTCAACTCTGAAATTCCCCAGACAGGAGGAAAAATCTGCAAACCCCACCATAGACAGCTGTTTCAGATTTTCCAGTGGCAACCTCGTTTTGGCTGTTGACTCCTGTTCTGCAATTGAACTTTCCCAGCTGTGTCCCCATTTGTATATGTGTATGCGTCTATACTATGTGGTTTCAAGACTTCTCCCCAGAGAGGTTAATAATGAAGCAAAATGTTTTATTTTTAAACACTAATCTTTGTAATGTGTAATAAAGTGCAAAAAGTACGGAAACTTCCTCAAGTAGGAGAAAAGCCCACTCTGAACTCTGCTGTGAAAGATTCACGTGGATGAAGCTTTGATTGACAGCAGTCATCAAAACTAGAAATGGACGACTCGGAGTGCAAAGGCCTGGTGACCTGAGGACCAATGACCAGTTTCCGTATGTCCTTATTGTAGAATGAAAATAGAATGTATTTAATAGTTTTACTCAGTTCAAGTAAGATATAACATGGTTTACTTCTGATTTCATTCCTCTTTAAATTATTGTAATAGTCAACTTACTGATTGCAGTTCCTTTTTAAATTCAGGCTGCCTTTCATCCCTGTGGCAGATGGACAAGCTTGTGTTTAATGTCTGTTTGCTGTCTGTCTAATACGGCATAGTTTCATTTTGCAATTTCAGGTATGTGCCAAAGAGTTGCTGTGCATTCACTCTTTTGTGGTGAGGGCAAGACTTGTTTTTTTAAGTCTTGCTTATTTCTTAAGAATGAGCCCCCTGGTGTCTCTTCCAGTCTTTTTGAAAGATGCATCAGTAGAGGGGTTTAATAGTTGCGTGTGGGTCAACTTGTCTCTTTTCTGTGGAATATTTATGCTATTTTTCAAATAAGTGCCAATAAATGGAAAAATAAATGTGTTTTGCTCTTTCTGCACTCTGTTAGAGAGGTAACCATATTCTTGTTTTCATCTGTGATTAAATGTTTTTCTTTTTAAATCAGAATATCTATTGTAACCCGCTTCCACCCACTCTAGTTTACATTTAAGTTGGCCTTAAAATCTGCAGCAGACTTTTCTGTTTTCCTGGTGGAATGCTATCTTAAAGTTCTGTGATAGTTCTAGGAAAACCGAAGAATAAACCCAAACATTTTCAAAAGACTTTAATAACTAACCATGTCCCTAGTTTATACCTAAAGGAGGTCCTGGTGAAATAGTTTGGAAGATAGAAGCTACAGCTGGCTGATGGACAGTACTGAGGCTCTTGCCCCTTGGGAAGAAGTGGGGAGTCTTTGTGGTTTGCCTTAATAGGGCAAGTAATGCTGTTGGAGGAGAGAGAAATAGTTCTCTATCTGCAGTCATTCCTTTCCCTGCTTTTGCAAAACAGAAATCACTTTGAACTTGTGGAATAAGGCATCTCAATTTCTTGTCTGTCCGTGTCATCAAGAACCTGCAGTTTTGTGCCCTGGAGTCGAGACATGTATAGGTTTTTTTCCACTGAAATATTAAATTTTGGAACCAAATTATCCTGCAAAATATGTATCTGGATTCAGGGAATTAGGGTGTTATACAATGTGCATAATCAACCCTGTACTCACATAGTAGCTCATGCTGTTAGTATTACCTCTGTTCTACTAATTCCCCATTTACTCATGAACAATGAATATTGAAGCTTTGCTTGATTAAGTGTTGTGGTTACAGGACTGTTGCATATGATGTAAACTCAGATCAGTTAAGGAACATTCCAAGTGTCTGTGCCTTTTCCTCTGAGAAGAAATGGTCAGCTTTCTTGTCTTAGGCCATATTGTAAGTATTATGATCTCATATATATATAAAGTATAATATGTAAGTATATATTATCATATATAAACTTTTTTGTTCTGGAACTCTTTTGGGGCATACAGCTGTTCCTCTCCAGGATTCTGCCACTCCTCTGGAATGGCACCCTTCCAAAGTCATGCTTGTGTTCAGCACTTGATTGGTCTGGTTGAAAACTGTCCTGTAGGATTTGTTTGGCAGTTAAATTGGGTCTTGGGCCAGTGCGTCTTCCTTGACAACTGATAGGTGTTTTTCTTCCTTCCACCTTCTCCGGAATGACATAGTTGCCGAGGGTACATTCGATAACCATGCCAGTGCTCAGGGGGACTGTATTTTTGGAATGAGCGCTTTGCTGGTTACTGCATTTAGCAGAGGAATAGATACTTCACGCTAGAAGAGAGGTACAGATGCCAGGAAAAATGAGCCTGTGCATTAGCCAGATTAACTTGCTAGGGTCTGCTGTGTGGTGTCAGTAAGCCAGTTGATCTGAATACTCAGCTGAACAGCTGCCCATGGTCCTCCTGAGATTAGTGTGAGAACTTAATCCTAAATTTGTTCTTTTCACCTTTCTTCAGAAAACTGAGTGTAAATGATCACCAACCCATACAAACAAAACAGATCTCCAAAGTCTTGTATTGGTGAGACTGAGGTATTTTGATTTATAAATGTGTATTGTGGTTCTAATATTAGTGCTGTATTTGTGAGTCCAGCCCTGCTATTGTGAGATTATTTGCTAGTGAAGTGACTAAAGGCAGGAGTGACTTCTGGAGTTCTGTCAGCTAGCTTCCAGCCTGAGAACAGCTTGTGCCTTTCTTAGCAGTAGTCATTTCAGAAATGTTCACTTTGTGCTGTTGTGTTCTTGCATATGTTGGAGTCATAACTTATTTACTTAAAATAGAGAGCTTCAGGAGTCATAATTAAAATGTGTGAGCTCTTCATATCCTGTTTTAAGCAACCTTTCATCACCAACTGGCAGATGGAGTTTAAGTTGATCCCTTTTCTCCTGGAAGCACCAAGTTAAAATATTTGTAAACGTAATTGAATGTTTACAGCTACAGTACAATACTTAAAACCTTACTGATCCAAAGAGGAGCGCTTGGCTTGTAAGAGTCCTTTTCAATAACTGGATGCACAAATTGTCACCTCACGTTTTTTATTTGGCATCTGTTTCCTAAGGGTGTGTCTTGGATAGTTGATTGTTTGTTTGTTTTACCTGTAACAGCAGAGTCTTCCCATTTCTGTGTATTTGGTATGAGCATCCTTGTTTGATAAACTTGAGACCAGTTGACAGGCAGCCTAGGTCTTGATCAGGAGATGCCTTTCCTCTGTCACAGTGGACTCCCAGCAGACAGCTGCCGTACATCTGGGAGACGCAGACCCTGCATATGTGATGGAAGGGAGAGATTCCTTCCACTGTTGGGGTTTTGTGGTAGAAGCATGAGGGAGGAGGGGGGGGGGAATAAACAACTGAAGGAGAACAACTTTGTTTGACTTTCAGTAGCTGGCTTGGGAACAGAAATTTCACAGGGGGGAGGAGTTGAGTGCATTTAAACCAAAACCAAACATGGCCTCTTCATTCTGGTTCCTCTGTGTCTCTCAAGGAAATGGTGAGACTTCCCCAATCCCATGAAGATTCCCCAGACAAATCTGGCATTTATCAAATTTAAAATTCTTCTGATAGTTTAGTTTCTTCTTTTACTTGCTTCATAAGAGCCTTGGAAAATGTTCGTTATTTAAGACTTCCTTCCGTGATTAATAATGGCATGTGAATGTTTAGAATTTTGCTGGGTGCCAACTTAAGTAGGGAGAGCTGCTCAAGCAGGGGCAGTTTTTGCTGCAGGTACTAATCTTTGGAAATGTGGTTCTCATGACTATTTTTTCCCCTTGTGTGGAGGAAAATCAAAACCGTGATGTGCATCTCATGCATTGTTTATTGTGGCACAGAAATAATGTACTGTGTTGTCTTTCAAGCCAACTTAAATCAGACTGTGTGGCACTGAAATAGCTGCAAGAAACTTCCTGCTAAAAATAAATCAAGATCCTTTCATTTCAAGTGCGTTCACTTCAGCAGTCGGTTTTGATTTGGGAGATTCCTGGCAGATTCCTGAGGGAAAGGCACTAATGGGTTTGGTGATGTTGATGGAACACGGGATTCCAGAGCCTTACTGCAGTTTTATTTGTCTCCTGATGGTGGCTTCTTGTTTGTCAAACCATATGCTTGTCTAATGCCTTGATGTTCCTACCTCAAGCCACCTAGAGTATCTGCAGTTTCCTAGAGAAGAATGCTCTCATTTGTTATTGTAAATTGTATTGTTAATTCCTTTTTTTTTTTAAACTGTAAACAGGGACTTAAGTTCCATTACAGACTCTTGGTTCGTTTATCCCAGGTCTTTGATATGCATTTTATCAGTCATCTTTTCTCTTCTTAGCATCTCTTGTTCTGCTAGCATCAAGACGACTGCAGTTACGTTGTGTCTGAATTGATGTTCCACGACAGAGATATTACAGGGAGCCTGTTACTCGGGTGGGCCTTCTTACCGACCTTTTTCCTCACACTGAGGAGATCATCCATTGCTTTGATTGTGTTGCTGTAAGCATGGATGTGCTCTTGCTCAAATTATTCCTTTCCAGAGTCTCTGCTGTTTCAAAGATCAGCATGCATTACTTTGCCAGCATGTAATTCCACATTATATTGTCAGCATGGTTATAGAGCTTTGCAAATTTTCAAGAGCTGATATGCATTAGCTACAGTTCATTATCCAAAGTAAACAGCTAGTTAGCATACAGCAGAGAGCTTCTACAGAAGACAAAAATACACCAAAAAGTGAGTGTATCCCCTTACTTGGCTTTAGTTAACGCTGTGTCGCCTGCCTGTGTTTCTTACTCCGGTACTCATTTTTTGAGGATACACAGGTTCTATAGACTCCTTTCATTTATACGCTTGTTATCTTTAAATGGCTTTTGCTAGACTGTGTAGCAGTGGCTCCCCAATCTTCACTAGCTTATGTGGAGCAGTACTAAGCAAGTGAAATGCTGCTGGCAACAGCATACTTCACTTTCCTTCAATGGTTTCAGTCTTAACTTAATTTCCTCAGGCAGCAAGCTATGCCTACAGGGAAGGTAGACTCGATTGCCAGCACCATTAACTTAGGGTGTTTCTCCTCCAGCTCTAATGAGAGACGGTGCCTTCTCTAGCACTACCATGAGGAGGCAAGTGCCCTGTTTCACAGGGATGTAGGCGAGAACCTGTTTTTCCATGGCCACTCAGCACGCAGCTGGGCAGGAGGATCAAATACCAGGATTGCTCAGCCCTGCATGCTTTGTATTGCAATCTGTTCCCTTACTACCACTTTTTTCGTCCGGGGGGGTCTCATACAAGGTCAGAGGGCAAATTACCTGAGCTGCTCTGACGCACAAACTCAACCTCCCTCCTGGCAGTGAGGATGATCTAAGGTTGGGGTTTTAAGACCTCCTATTCAGCTTGGTCCCTGAATTTTGAGGTTGCCCTGGAGCACCACAGGCCCTATGAAACACAGATCACTCAGCACCTGAGAACTTTCTTTCCTGTAAATAAAGTATTCTTGGATCTGGCTGACAGGCTTGGGCAAGTTCCCTTGCGTAGTGTTGCCCTACCAGTGGGCTGGATTGCCAATGCATGTAAGTCTTAAGGATGAGATTCATACTCCTGACAAAGGAAAGGGGTGATGGAACTTGGCATTTAGAAGGAAACCTGTTACAAGGAAAGCCAGGTATCTTAAATATACATTGGCAACTGGGAACTGAAATATGGTGATTTATTGCCAAACCTATTTGGCAGCCTCTTTCCAGTTTAGGCTTGTTTGTTATCAGATACTTGTGAACGTAAAATGAAATCACATATGATTGACAATTCTCAGCTAGTAGATTCCAGGAAGGATTTCTCTGTGTCGTTGTTGAAGGCACAGTTCTGTGCATGGGCTTCTCTTGGAGCTGCTGCAAATGCCACTGTTAAGCTGTTTAAGTAACGGCAGTGACTGTTACCATCTGACAGCATGCTCGGTTATCTTCCTGGGGCATGTTTTGAGAAACGTCAGCAGCAGCTCAGCATTTCCCTTTGCAGGGACTGGATCTGTTTCCAGGTGATCTCCGTGTGAGGCTGCTCGACCCACTCTCCCATCTCCGGGGGCTCCATCAGCTGCGATCCCTGGTGAAATGAACAGATTATCTGAAAGCCCTCTCTGTCCCTGGAGCTCTGGAACAGTTATCTTGGGTCTACTGTAGTTTTTAAGCATTCTGTGATTCACTCCTTCAGAGAAAATAGGGACATCTAAACGTTTTCTGATCCAGACAGGTGCTAACACCTAGAGGAGATCATGTACCAAGCCTATAGCGTCTAGGAGCGACGCTCATGAAAGCGATCTCAGCAGCACTCCCATTTCCTGCCTGCCAGCATTGCTTGTTTGAGATGATATCAGTGCCATAGCAAGTGCTGGGTAAACAAGATGATTGTTTCTGCTGGATGATCTTAAAGCCCTCCTAACTGTCTGCTGAAAATACTTTTCCATTTCAAGGAAATGACTGTTTTGTTTGTGTTAGGAGTCAGGAATGGGAAATGACGTGAACACTTAACTGTTTCTCCTGGTGTTTTTAAGAGGAAGCATATTCAGTGTCTTGGGTCTTATTTCCAAAGGCATTCAGTGTTTTCCATAACCCCATTAGGTAAGTACTAGAGGTGTCTGCATGCATACATACATAATAGACACACACCCCAGAAAAATATCTTATAAATCTTGTGTATCCACCTGGTAAAATTTTACTACTGTCTCCCTGTGACCGTGCTGTAACAGGATTTGATATATTCCCCCCCACAGGGCTGAACTGAACCTGTCCTCAGGTCTCGTTATCCCATCACTGGAATAAATCTGTGATTATACAGTGTTCTGTAATCTCCCTGAAGCAGAAAAGTCAAAATTCACATTTGTCATGCTTATTTTGCCCAAGCACCAGTTTTATCTGCATCTGCTGAGCTACACTGTGCATTTAATCTTTTTTATCTGTGTATTGCTCCTCATCCTTGAAAAAGAAATGGTCCAATGTTTTAGTCTTTTTAGTTGCTGATAACTTTTTGTTACTGATTTCTTTGGTCAAGGTGTTTTTCTAAGCCTATCGCTTCTCTTTAAATCCTTGAAAACAAACGCTGGCAATCTGGGTCTCCCTTGTCCTGTCACCTCACTTTGCAAGTCTTGTGCGTGCACTGTCCTGCAGGACTAAGGTGCCTGCAGGTGTCAAGACTTGGTTCTCTCTCTTCTGTGCTTTCGCAAGTGCCTGGCAAAACATGATCCTGGCCCATGACTGGAATGCCAGCATATGAGGGGGGAAAAAGGTGGTTTCGTGTTTTGTTTTGTTTTTTTAATCAGCTTGGGCAAAATAAAATGTATATCTTAATACATAACAGCCAGGCTAACGTGCCATGTGGCAGTTTTATCTCCCTAACGTCTGTTCAATTCCCTTGCCCTTCCCCAAAAAGCAGCAGGTTAAATAACCTCATGAAAATCAGAATTAATAGTGTAGGTACTTAAGAATAACAGCAAAGCTACAACAACGCAGCTCTACAGTGGCAGGAAAACACTGTGACCCAAACATGATCTCAGTGTTGGGAGGCAAGCACTGTGTCTGCAGCACAGGCTCTAGAACACAGCGTTCTCAAACCAGTTAGTAACTTTTTTTTTTTAAATGAATGTTAATGTTTGACTTTTCTTTATCATCTGACGCTGATAGATGACACAATCTCCATTCTTCTGAGAATCAGACTAAGGTAACATTTTATTGCCCTTTAAAGACTTACTTGTATTATATATAAGAAAAAATGTACAGTGATTAACAACTTGAATTCAACCTTTCTCTCTCTTTTTTTTTTTTTTTTTTAAAAGCAACACTGTTACCTGCATGGTTTTTTTGTACTTCCATGCATAAGCAGAAAAGTGACCCATAACATGCAGGGGGAAGGAAGGTTTAATTTCCAAACTGCTTTTTATACAGATCAGAGTGTATTATATAGGCTTCTTTTAAACAAAGATTTATGTGTATGAATCAAATGCAGTAATAGTGACCCTTCAGTAGAAATATTTTTCAACTTAACATCTCGACAATGAAATGTCAAATGAAGGAAAATGCTCATATGAAACAAGATAAAAGTTCACCTAGATTATAAAACTGGAATTTGAGCAGGAGTTTCTGATACAAAAGAAATCCTTTATCTTAGCTGGGGGGGAAGGGATGGTGTAGAGGAATGCCTTTGTTGTGACACTTAGTTTGGTCTCTAAAATAGAAAAAATGGTGAATTTTATATTACTGTGTGGTGTGAGTTCAACTTCTGTTAATGCCACTTAGTTCACATATCGCATGCATCCCTAAGAAATGAAAGGATCTGATTATAGAACTTGTTGTTTATTGTCTACAATTGTGATACAAAATGGCTGTCGCAGGAATTATTTCCCCAGTTAAGAAAACGAGCGCTCAACAATATATTGGTAATGATGAAGTAAGGAATTTGAGAATTGCTTCTTCACCTAAAATTCATGGTTTATTTCATAGTTTCACTGATGGAATTTTTCATTTTCTTCAATGATTAGTCATGACTCTCATCCTTCTGGTATGTATACAGAAGTGTTATGCACCAGCCTCAGCATGTACAACCACAAACCAAATGAACGTTTTACATAAGACAGTTTGCTTTTATAGTGATCACGCACTGATGTGAACATAGACTAAAAATAACAAATGTTGCTTTAATAAGGATTTTTTACAGTAGGCGTAGATATAAAAGTTTTTCAAATTATTTTCACAGGTATCACTGAACATTTCATAGCTGTCTGTTACAGAAGCACCGAAAAGTGCTTTGAGTCTTTCATTTATTATACATAGTTAAAATATATTACACTTCTGAAGGTATCTTAAATCACTGAACGGTTTTGCTAGCATCTTAATGAGCCAAATGGGAGTAAAAGGCAGTCCACATTCATGATGTGAATATACAGTAAGGTGTTTGACATCCTATTAACTCATTGCTCATGTTCTCAAAATAACCATGGTGATGAGACCTGAAAGACAAGAATTAAGAACTAAACACTATAATTTCACTGAATAAAACATTGAAAGACAGTTTACCCTGTCACAGGCCAGAAAATAAGGTGAAAGTACATAAATACATGCAGAATTTATATATACACTTCACTTAAATATTAGAAATATTGCTCCAAATTTTGATGTAGTCAAAAACTGTGTAAAAAAAAAAAAGACACTGAAGGGCAGTATATCTAGTAACTAAATGTCAAAGAAGCTATAAATACTCCAAACAATTATTGATCTCACTATGGGAAAATCTTAACATTGAGATTTTGACTTGTAAGTGTAACACTAGCATATAAGCTACCAGTTTTCATGGGGGCTAGTCATGGGCAGTGTAATTCAATTGCTGAACCATCAGTAAGGCAGATTAGCTGAAGGCTCCAAGACATTTTTGTTTCTGCTCTCTGCAGAATAACTGATCAAAGACTAGTTTTAGACAAAGATGTTAAGCTTCCTTGTCAGTCTGCATAGGGAGCTTTCTACAGAGTCTTTGTTGTGACCTTTGAAGAGGGAGGAAAAAAAAAAAAGAACTGCTCTGATAGAGGTTAAAAACAATTAAAAACAGATGAAAGCAGGAAACGTGGGGCTAATAAACCTACTCATGACACACTGATAAGTTCACTTTAATTATGTGCTGATACAGGAAAAAGTACAAATCTGCAAGTTCTTAGCCATGAGTTACACGGCACAAGGCAAAGAGGCATATGGAAAAACATAGGGCTCCTTGAATTCCAACCTTACGTAACATCAAAATAGTAATTTATCAGTTCTTAGGCAATCTCTCTTGTAGACTCAGATGATGTTAATATAACAGCATTTCACTGCAGAGAACTTAGCTAAAGCCTACAGATCTCACCATGGATAAAGAAATTTCTGAGACTATTCTACTATCCTACCACTACATGCTGATTTAACTTATTTACTTTATAAAGATTTTGAAGATAGAAGCATGACAGAACAGAGTTGTAACACTGCCTTCCATTATATAAGCAATTCATCCATTAAAGAGGAATTACAGTTCAGCTATTTCTTATGGTCTGTATTGGCTTAGACAATTAGTACTACTACAACTGCTGTAGGCCTTTGCTTGGATTATCTAAATCATCGCAGAGTAATAACAGAGGCTTCTAGAAGCTGCTACAGGACAGCCTATACCACTTGTACAGGGACTTTCAGGCAATAAAGGGTTTAACTCATTGCTGTAAAGCAAATACTTCTCAGATATCATATAGCCCAGTTGGTGTGGTATTAACCTCCCTTTTCAATTAAATGCTACACAATCCAGTTGTACTTCGTTGTGGAAGAAAGTGGTTTCATCTTCTCAAGAGCAATCAACTTTCTACATGAGCAAGAGTTGCACACAGAAGGATCTTTTAATGAACACTAAAAATGCTGCTACCAAAGGAATCAAAACCTGTAAGAACTTCACAGTGAATCTAGAAATGGGTTAAGTTGTTGCAAATAGATAAAGTCAAATGGTTTAACACTATAGTTAGCACCAGCAGGAACTGGAGTAATTTTCAAAGCTAGAGATAATTTTCAAAGCTAGAGATAAAAACAAAGCAAGGATTAGTGCAAGGTCCTGATCTGAAAATACATCACTATCGGCTCAGGCAAAGAGCGACAAGTGAGTTTTCAAACCATTTCAGCAGACTGACCTGCATGAGTCAGTCAACTGAGTGTGCGCATTAACCATTAAGAACTTGCATCTTTTCCCATCACTACCTCACCTCTAGCTATCAGTTTGAAGCTGCCTAGCTCGTTTCCTTTAAATCCTCATTTCTGCCAGGTAGTGGGACAGGAGAATTGAGTTTAGTGTGACTGTTCTTCAAATCTGAAATAGTTATAGAAAAATAGTCATAACAAATGAAATGTGCAACTTATCTATGCTTGCTAATTTAGGAGCAAGTTACAAATTGGGAAGAAGATGGTAGCGGTCTCTTAGGAAGGGTTTACAACAATTTATTTCTACACATTTCAACTGCTTATCAAGAAGGTAGTGAATAGAGCCTTTCAGACCAGCTCATCTGGGTTGGAGAGAAACAAAATAACAGAAGAGATCTAGGTTCTGCAATAGAGTAACTCTCCGTTTCAATATAAGAATAAGAAACAGTATATTCCATTCAGTTTTGCTGGCAGATGACTACAGTTGGCCAGTCATCAAATCAAGGTGAAATTAACATTCAGGGGCCTGTATATAATAAGTCTCAACTAAAATCTGGTCTAAAATACTTACGATAACTGATTTACCCTGATATCACTACAGCTGCAAGTTAAAATATCAGTGGAGATGAAAAACAAAATGTAGTGTGGTGCTTTGTCTCCATCAAGTTTCCTGCAGCCAACGGCAAACACAGGAGAAGTTTCCCAAATGACTGGAAGTTGCAAGAAAACATTTACAAAATCCAAAATACTTACCTAAAACATAAGCAGCTACTAATTTTTGATTCACACTTAAATGGAGGTAGAGAGGCACCAGGGATTCCATTTCCCCCAATGTAGGTAGCATTAGTGCTGCAATACACACTATTCCCAGGAAGACTGTTAGTAAACTAGGTCCCGACGAGGCAGTTCTGTTTTCTGAAAAACAAGATAGTACCAATTATAAGGAACATCTAACCAACATAAACATTAAATATTCTGCAAAAGTGTTTGCGGTACATTCAAGCTGTAATATCCTAAGATTTTCTTTTCCCTTTGGAGTGGGTGGGAAACAACTCTTAAACCCACCCTTCTGAACCTTCTGCGTTTTGCAGTGGAGAAGGCTGCTTCCTGTTCTGACACTGGAACTTGTTTTCACATGACTTTCCAAACCCCTCCCTTGTGGAGGAACAGAGCCTGCCAGGCCCAGTAGCTATGTATACACACTCATGACAGCTGGGTGTTTGAGCAACACTTGAGGTTTCACCACGCATCCTGACTCCATTCCTTGATATGTTCCTTCAGTGATTAGTACTCAGTTAGGAAAGAACACCTAAAAGAGCTGCACAGGCAGGTAACTGCTTACATCTCTAGAACAAAACTTGGCTACAGTAAGAGCACAGGTTCTTGGGCCAGACGAGTTCCCCTTCCTTCTCTAGAGGATTCAAGGGCTGCACCTGCCAGAACCAGTTTATATGCCACAAATCGGTATTATTTGAATCTTACTGTTAAAAACTGTGAGAGCAAACCACTCTGACAGTCCAATATCACCCAAATAAGGAAATGCAAACTATAGATGAACTGTCCTTCACAGTCTTTATTGCACTGCAGTTTAACAGCTGGAACCTACCCAAAGGCACACTGTGTAATCTTTGAAAAGCGCTGTTAACATGTTAGCTGAATACCTCTCACCAAATTCTTAAGACCCATTGGAAATTAGCCAATGTTTTTATCAAGTTTTTCTATCCTCGGTGACTAGCAATACGTGTCCTATTTTAATTTCATAAATCTGTTATTTCTAGGTTGCAGGTTATATGCAAAGACTGTAGTTGCTTCGTTTACTGTTTTTCTGTAAGCAACCAACATAATATAGTCAACGAGGTTTTTAAGCAGAGAAATAGCATTTGGATTAAGACCAGCATCAGATTGTTCAGGATGGTTTGAACCCTCTGTACCAGAATAACTATCATAGTAACATTTTGTTCTGTGAACCCAGAGATCATTGTAGGTTTGCTTTAACCATGTATCCCACTAATACCTATCTTGAGTTTAAAGTAAAAGGTGTTTCACTAGCCAACAAACTATGTATAAACAGAGAAACAGTTTGGTTTTAACAAGAGGTACACTCTCAAGCAGGTTCATCTATTTTCTGGAATTGATTTTTGTTCTTGTCATGAAAAATAAAATAGTGACAAGAATGTTATAGTATAAATCAGTAAAAGTAACAAGAAGGTAGACTGCCAAGTCAAGAAGAATAGGTTTAGATTCAGTTCAGGTAAAACTTGATACTTTTTATATCTCCCCCTACCATTTCAACTTAACTGTTAGGTTCAGGTTTTGCTCAAGACTGTTGATTCACTTCCTCACATATGAAACATGCAAAGAATTTTCAGCTAGTGACTGTGCTTTTCTGTACTTGTGAGACAGACAAAGGAGATCGCGCAGAACAAGGACCACTTTAGAAGATATTTTGGCAATATTTTCTGCTCATCAGGAAATGGAGGATTAAGGGTTTGGAACAAACTCAGAAAGGGCATATGTTCTGAAATAGCCCAAGGGAAAAAATAACTGCCACCCTTTTGCAGCTAAATTCCCATTGGCTGTAGCAGAACTTCTGCACCAGAGGAATAGAGGATGTATTCTCTCTCCAAGGCATGACATGCAAACATGGGGCAGCAAAGGGTCTTGATTAATAAAGACAGCATAACCAGAATTGCTGTAGTTTGAGTTCTTGGGCACTATCATGCCCCAGTGATAAAGACAGCAGTCTTACAGGTAAGAAAAGGAATTATTTTCGAATTTATTTTAGTCTAGCCTTTCTAGTCACTTGAGCTACTCATAACTGATTAAGAAGACAGGAGAGGTAAAAGATTTCAGCTACCTGGTTGACACAAAGTCTGCTCAAAAAAGACACTTTCAGCCAGGTGTTCTTTTATTCGTTTTTCCTCCTCTTCCTTTTGTTGTTGTTGTTCCTTTGCAGATGGAAGTAGAGTAGCAATAATCTCCTTTTTCCCTAATGCTTTCCTCTGGCTCTGCTCAGACACTTGTAGACGAAATTTATCTATCACACCGTAGTAAGAAGCCCGAACATCTCTGTGACGAATCACACTGCAGAAGAAAACAACATTTTCAAACAGAGGAACTAATAAGCAGCACGTCTCCTGTGGAATTACGTCCTACATCCCAATGTTTCCCCTCTTTCCTCCCCCCACAGATGCATTGCAATAGTCCAGATCCCCATTACCTCCTCCATCACTCAATGTTCTTGAAGATTTGATCTTGCCTTCTCTCTCCCCTCCTTATGTTCGCTCTGGTTCCCAAATATATATGCTCCAATTGGCTGGCCAAAAAGAACAGTTAATTCTTTATCTCAAGCACACCTTTTCCTCAATCTGAGGCCTAGCTGCCAATTTGCACGAAACCTCAATTATCTGAAAGATGCCTCCTCCTTTATCAAAGTTGTTTGACGCTGGCCAATGATTTTAAAAGGTACGGGGTAACTGGAGTAGACAGGGAAGAAAAGAAGAAAAGTACAACTGCCAAACACTTGGACAGGTGATGGCAAAAGTCTGGCTTTTTGAGGAAACCAGGCTCAGAGCTTTACAATTATACTTTCTCAGAAGCAAAACTCATTCCCTCTACGGACAAGAGTCAGCTAGATGTAAAGAATTTTCAAAATCAGAAGCCCACCATTAAGAGCATGTAACAGTGCAGTAAAAATGACAGCTACGTATTTACGTAAACATTTCTCACCTGTCTTTCAGTGAGTAAATCTGGATTTCAATAGCAGAGCTCTGTGCTGTCAGAGCTTTGCTCATCAATCTAGCTAACCTCAGCATGTTTCGTAGCCTGCATTGAAATACACGATGCTGCAGGTACTTCACTAGCTACGAAGAGCTATGCCGGGCATAGACACACAAGCTGCAGTCACAACTCAGACTGCAGGATAGACATATTCTCCAAGTTATAGCTAGAGAGTCAGTTATTTTCTTGGTAAACCTTCTCACTGTCCAGCAACCAGTCTGTTGCTCTACTGTTTTGATTAGGTTGACCAAGATGGTTTTAACAGTAAGACAGGGTTCTAGTTTTATGGCATTTCATGGAAAAAATTGTATGTGGGGCCTACAAAAGGCAATCTTAAAATAACACCGATCAAAGGCAATACAGACCTCTGAGCAGTGCTCTGCTTAACTGCCTCCTCTCTGCATTTATGATTCATTACGAAAATATGTATCTAGCACTAAAAAGCTATAATATTTAGGTTTTGAAGTCATATCAGCTCTTAGAGTTAATATGGATTCTAATTATTTTCCCGAAGTGGAAAACTTTTTTTGCGACAGGCTATTCTACATTTCTAAGATAACAACAGCTAATCTGAAAAAATACCTACGTATAAGTGATTTGGCTTCAAGAAGGTTGCCATCTCCTGAGGGGAAAAAAATGATTCTACCCTTAGTAATACAGGATAGTAGTCTTAAAATTGCTTCAAGAAACCTATCTTTGTGAATAATATATACATTAAAATGCTGCAAGAAACAGATCTTTGTGTTTCAGTCTTCATTTAAAGGAACTATATCACATCAAGGTATCTACAATCATTAACACATAGCCAGGGCTTGTAACTGGTATCTAGTTTGAATAGACTATTCAACAAGGAAACGGAGAGTAAGTCATCCCCCAAGCGAGAAGCCTGCAGGAATGTACGTAGTTTTATGTCACTTTAGAGGCAAAAGAGCATGCTTATGACAGGCTTTCAGCAAGTTGAGTGTTGGCTGGGCAACTGCCTTCACTAAAACAAAAGGCTTTTCCCCCCCAACAATCCTAATTGACACAACTCTCTGTGTATGAGAACAGAAGATTCAACTCTTATTTCTTCCTTTAACACTTACTTCTAAATTTTTGTTTCTACTCTTAGTACCATGATACTACCAACCTAAACAGAATCTTTACATAACACTGTGTTATGAGAACATGCATCTGCTGCCAAGCAAAGAGATATTTTCTGCAGACCCTTATAAACAGATACATTCTCCTGTTTCTTTTTAGAGACCATTGCATAATTGGAAGCTCTGTAGAATATCTGTTTATCTGGCAAATGGCCATACTTGCATAGTACTGCTCATATCCTAGCAGTAAACACTGCCCTTAGACAGCAACCATTGAAATGGGATGGGGGTTTTGCTGCACAAAAAATTCCCTTGGAAACATGCATATGTCTTATTTTCCTTTATTTAATAAGACATTTGTTTAAGATTACCCAAATGTAATCAAGCTTGTGTAAATGTCTGCTAGACTGGAACAGCTCACCAATACGCTGGTATATTCTGACCTCGTTTGTTCCATTTTTAGGATTATTGCCCCTGCCCACTGAAACTTTTTAGTTCCATGTTTTAAACTTCCTTTCCATTTGGTGAGTCCTTGGAATTTTCCAAACTACACCTACGGAAAACAGTCTACAGGAAAGAGCCATTCCCCAAGCACAGTACTATTTATCTGACAAAAGACAGATCATTCAATAGCAGAGTTTTTTGTATATGGCCATTTGTTAACCAGAGATTCCAGGTGGTGTTTTACAGTTTGTAAATTTCTATTCAGAAAGCTTGGTCTGCTCTTTTAGGTACTTCATACTTTCTTTAGCTGTATCTGTACATCAGCACAGAAAAAATGTGGCAAACGGAAGATGAAAAAAATTGGTCTATTTCAGCTTATATACCTACTCTACTTTGAATTATAGCAGCCTACAGACCCTATACGTTATTGTGATCATTTAACTGGCCTACTTATTTTCTCTGTTACTGGGTTGGGACCTGACAGAAGAAACAAGTAAAGGGGAGACAGAGAGATCTGAGACCGAGAGAGGCGGTTGGGGTGAAAGGTAGGCAAAAGTACCTTTATTAAAAATGGCCCAGGAAAGTGTGCTCAGCAGAACTGCATACATTTTCATTTTGCCAATCTGCAAACAAATATTTCTCATAAAGAAATCCCTACCCTGAGGGTCTTGCTTTTCTTGTTATTTCTAACAAAAAAGTACTCAGGGGAGGCTCATATTACTCTCACTGCTGGTTTACAAACTATACGACAGGATGCGTTTACTAGCATTTTATTTATGCTTCAAGGCAAAATTAAAGAAGGAAATATCTCCAATATTATAATACCTCTGCCCTAGAGTGAAAGCCACAAGAATACAGGAGATTAGGAAAATATTATATCTTTATCCAACTTAGTTTATACTATGCATGCTGTCATTTACTACCTCTTAAATAAGAAAAGAAATTAAGATAATCAAATGTTGTACATTAGGAAAAAAAAAACCAAACAACCAACTTTTACTTACATATCAACACAGCACTGAGGCTTCACTGCACCAGTAGCATCAACCACCGCATATTTATTTGGAGTTGTACAAAGAACTGCAATGAAAAGGACAGTAGTGGTAACAAATCATGAATTAACACCTCATCAACTTCTTCAACAGGTATACATAAAGACACAAGTTTAGTTTTGTCACAAATATGATTTGTTACATGAATTATAATTGGACTGTTCAAGATCATCAACTAACCCTTAAACAGAACTTAACCTAAGAAACCCACCTTTGAATTTTAAGGCAAACTCATAGGGGTTATATAGAGTCAACACCTGCTTGTGTGTTGACTGGTCATCTGCATAAAATATAAGTTCTGTAGGAAAAACAAAAACAGGAAGATTTCCTTCCACTAACTCTGGCTGTCTTTTTTGTTGCTGCATTGGCACTGAATCCTCCTTGCTGCTTCTTGTGTTCTTATGATTTTGTATCCTCAGAGACTTCAGTTTTTGAATCGTTTAAGAATTCCAAAGCATTTTGGCAATTCTAAAAGAAAAAAAGGGGGAAAAAAGAGAAAAGGCAAGAAGATTATTTCCATAAGTCTATACTAAACTGAGGCAGTCAACAAAGGTGTAAAAATATAAAACATGATGCTTGGTTATGAATCTACCTTTACTTTAGTTCCTTCAAAAATACGGAAATGGAAAAAATATTTGCATTGAGTTTCCATCTATTTAACAAACTGCTATAAAATAAATGGATAAGCACTTCTTCAGTGTATCGTGGCAGCATTTTGGGGTCCCAGTCCATGACTAGGATTGCTTATGCTGGGTCTTTGCAACACAAACCAAACAACAACAAAAAGATATCCCATCCTTGCCTCAGGACACGAACACTTGAGAAAAAAACAGAGCAGAAATGAGGAAACACAAAGATGTAAGGCAGCAGTAGTCACCATTTAGGCAGGAATCTCTCTGCAGTGGTGACCTTCCCGGATGAGGTATAATAACTTAGGTATCTGCTCACATAGGCACTGAGGTATGTCAAATCCCAGAGATTCAGAACAAAAGAATGGGGAACACCTTCACACCTTGTTTAAACTAAACTCTTGTTACAATTCCATGGTAGTTACAGGCAACGAACTGAAAAATAACTGGGATGAATAATACCAAACAGATTTGGGATTTACTATTTGATTAAAAAATAAGACAGGTTTTCTACCACCACTGTCTCTAACCAAAGTATGACCATCGTAATTCTCCCTCTGCCACCCCCACAGTTTTGTTTTATTTTGAGTGACATTCCAGAACTAAAACCAGAACCCATGACCTGACTGAGCAACAATCCCAAATGTAACTCATAAAAGAAAATTAAGGCCAGACTCCTCAGCACACATACCATTGACTTTACACACTACAGACAGAACAAAGTGAAACAGCTACATATATTTTCCCCCCCAAGAACGTCATATTTTACTGTAGCTCCTATAGGTTAATTATCAAACTGAAGGTGTCCTTTGAGGCTTAACTTTATTCTAGAGTAGAAAATAGTAAAAGAACAAAAAGTCCCTACTGACTCATCAGCTGTCATTTCCACTTCCAATGAAGCTTTATAAAACAAGGTGCATTTCAGCTGTTCTGCAGTCTAATAAATTGATTTGGTTGCACCTTAAGGAATTTAGTGTCTGATCTTTCTAGCAGCGAATAGCCCTAGCATTATGAACAATCAAAAACAAATGCTTATTTTTCCATTCTAAACATCATGATGTTCACATTTCCAAGCACCAGATACATGTTTCATACTTGAAACATGACACAAGTTTAGGTGTTTAGTAGAGTTTATCTGTCATATCTTCACATTTACAGGTTCTAATTCTTATTCACAAACTAAGCTTTTAAATTTATTTATTTTTTCAAATAGCAAATCATCTCTGTAGAATTTAAATTCATGGCTCTCACTGGTATGTCTTTCCCCAAGATCCAGTTTCTTTTCAGAGCACAGGTTTGTTTCCACTTCACTGAAATGCTACTAATAATATTCTGAAAACAAATCCCCAATGATAGTGTTCCAAGTTGATGTTCTGCTACCTTATTAAGAAGAGTCTAGAAAAAGACATAGCTCTGTAAGTGGCAATTTGGGTTCTGAGTGCTTCTTAGAATTTTGGTGAATCCCTTTTGTTTCAGAAGAATTAACAAACTCTGGATTCACTTTGTGCAGCAAGTGTAAGCATTATTTCTTGAACAAGTTTGTTTACTATTGCAAAGTGAGATTCATTGTTCCATTCAAATATATTAAGACTATATATATGAAGAGCTAATGTGGAAAAACCACCAGCTTGCAGGAATACAAAATAACTTCTTTTGAAACTTCTCATAGGCAAAAGACTAAGATTTTTATTTTTTTAACAAAAGTTAGCTTGATGCAGTAAGCATATGTTGAAATCTTTGGTTCCCATACATATATACACTGCATACATTATGTGTAACAGAAATACAGGCAATCATTGAAATTAGCAAAAGGGTTTTTTTCCTAATAAAGGTTTTAAACTACCATACAACCAACAGCAAGCTACTGCTAGATATTTTTAAGTGACCATATTTAATAAATTTTTAAAGTATTATTTATAATAATTAATACTATTTTGATGCTTTAGTTTTTTATTTAAACACTGCACATGTTTCATTCTGACTCCTGGCATCATACCACAACTCCAGTTTCTTCAGCTCAGCCAGCGGCAAGTGTTTAGGTGTCCAAAAACCCACAAATCACAACATCAGTGGAGGTATGGATCACTAAGCCTATTAACAGGCTCATTTTTCTTATGCATCCATTGAAAACGCAACACGCAAACCTCCCAGGATTCCACAACTTGCAGGCGGAAAGCCACCAATCTTAAAAAAGTATATCCCGTTATTGCTTCCTTTTCTTATTTAACTTGGCTGGATAAGAAGTTACCACCCAAACTGGCAAAAATAAAACCTGGCAAACCCAGGCCTATAGTAGACATGCTTGCTGACACAGCAGTGTCATTCAGGATATAAATTTCTGGATTTCTAAGCAAGCAACCAGCATCCTTTCTGAGACAATAATTTTGACTTAGAAGTCACCTTGCTGGGATATCTCACCAAGTGACATCAGTAAAAGCACTTTTCCCAAAGACTGCATTATAAACTATACATATGCTGGGCAGATTCAACAGTTTAGTACTAACAGCAGCACACCTTTCATGAAGCACTCATCAACAAGAAACTGCAAAGACTTTTACAGAGAAAGTCTCTACTTTCAGAACTTCTCTGCACAGATTAACCCCAAAGCAGTACTCACGTTCAGAATAAGGCTACGCAGCTGGCTATGTTTGGCACTCCAGCCAGTTCATTTAAAAGAAACTTGGCTGCCGCTCTTCTACACCATGCATCGCAGCACAGCAGATTCTCACCGCAATCACTAAATTTTGCAGTCAATAGTCACCATGATTACTTGCAGAACATAAACGTAAGCACATGCAAATCTGTGCAAAACCGAGATCTGTGGTCTCAATTCTGTGACCTACACTGCGCAGATGGGCTTCTCCTGGTACCGCCAATGAAACTCCTCGCAGGTGCAGGAATCTGTCAAATTTAATGCTCATTACAGGACACGGGCCAAAGTGTAACACCTGAACAATGCCAGCTTGCTTTCCAACGCTCTTTGAAGTCCAGACAAACAATTGTCACTGATATTTTTTTTAGCACAATAAGGATCTTTCCTCCCTGAAGTTACTAAATATATACTGCTGGTGTCACAATAGCATAGATCTGCCAGCGTTTCCTTTGAAATGTCTTTCTTCATAAATTTAACTTGACAGAGAAAAACACAAAGTGAAATGTAACTTCTCTCTAGGCTCACAAATAACACCACTTGTGATTTGTTTTTACTTAACAAGCATCTGCTGAAAAAATAAATCAAGTGAGGAAGTTTTTTGTTCCCATTTTAACTTCCAACAGCCTCATCACCATGGCTTCCGAGTGCATTTGTTGGTTGTTTCTTTTCCTAACAACTGCAAATAACTCTACAGAATGTCATCTGGTAAACACTTTATTCAGAAGATAACCTCTATAGTCATAGTCTCCACATTCCGCTTTTAAAAATTTTCTAATTGAAGTGTAATCTTTTTTTATTCTATCTCATGATCTACCCTCTAAATCTACACAATAAGCCTTTCTACACTATATACTCAACAAAATTGATGCCTTTTGAGTGCATATTCACAAAATTAGCCACAAAGTCTTCTTCAGAATTCCCTATGTCAAGCTGAGCAATTCCTTTAAACTACATGTAAATACAGCATATGATCTAAAGCAGATCTATTAACATTTTGTTTCTCCAAAAGTTTTTGAAGGCCGTAACGTGCACTTACGCAACTCAACGTTTAAACTACCTGCAATTATTTGGAAGAGTCATCCAACGATTAGAGCACAGACCCAGCAGCCAGGATGGCTGGATTCCATTATTGCTAACTCTGTCACTGACACTCCATGACCTTGAGCAAGTTGGTTAACCTCACCTCAATTTGCTAATCTATGAAGGCACAGATTCTGCAAACTATTTAAGTAGGCGGATAGTCACATTTAAACTGGCAGAACTCCTCTGATACTTTGCAAAGCCTGGGCAGAAATATGCTACTGTTTACCTCTTTACAGGGTGATGAGAAATGCAATTAGTAACTGTCTCCAGGATGCTGTAAAATGAAATAGTCTCAGAGCGTTACCTATTAGCATAGATGACAACATGCATAAATCACGCTGATACTGACAGAAAAATTTATTAGGACCACATAATTTTTTCCCTTTATTTTTTCAAATGCTGAAAAGGTGACAGTAACAAAAAAATGTATTCAAATGCAACTAAGAGACACACAAAAGCAGGGAAAAATGAAATAAGAGCTGTGCATTGCTTCCAACCCATTCTACTATACGGCTCAGAAGAATCCTATGGAAGACTTTCAAGGGCACATCCGCTGCTATAGTCTCTATTTTCTCACGTTCAGGTTGCGTTTAATGCACCGAACTGGTTGGTTTTTAAAGGCGTGTTGTGCTATTCAGTGCTACGCGGCCTTTTCCCTGTCTCAGGCCAGGTTCAAATCCTCAGCCCAAATGCCAAGATGCCACAGATTAACTGAGGAAAACACTCTTTCCTCCGAGAACGCCGGGAAGAAAGGCGTTCCAATTTGACTCTCAGAGCGCACCTACTTGAAGCCGGAGAGGCAGCAATCATTGCACACCCTTAATTGATCCTCTTTGTTCTCCGACGCGGAGCAGCAGAGATAAAGGCTGAGGCATCTGCGCTCTAACGGCCTCTCTCCACAGCCTGCGCCCAGCCCTGCCCTGCCCCTGGCGATAACGCAGCCAGCACCTTCGCACCGTCCCCGTCCCGCACCGCTCCCCCACCGACAACCTCGGAGCAAGCCCAACCGAGACCCGTCCCCACCGACGCCCGGCCCGCCTTCCCTCACTCCCCCCCCCCCCCCGGCCCCGGTTGCCCCGCTCCCCGCCGAACGGCCCCCCGCGGGTGTGAGGAGAGACAGGCCGGGCAGGCGGCGCCGCGCCGCCGGGGCCTCGGAGCCCGGCCGCCGCCCCGCTCCTCCTCACGGCCCTACCGAGGGGAAGGGCGGCGGGCGCCGGGCTCCTCCGACAGCGCTCCCGCCCGAGCCGGCACGGCGAGAGAGCTGCCGGCGCCGGGGGAAGGCCCCGCGCTCCCCGCCGGAGGGGACGGGAAGGGAAGGGAGGCCCGGCCCGCCAAGGGCCCCTCGCTGCCCGGCCCGGGGCCGCCTGACAAGCCGGGACGGGGGTGTCGCTCCTCCCGCCACCCCCCGCCCTGTCCCGGGGGTGGGTGGGGGGCGTCGCGCGGCGCCCCCCGCCCCGAACTCACCCCCTCCGGGGCCGCTGGGTGCGGGCTCGCGCGGCGCCCCCTTTGTCCGCCGCCGGCCCCCCCCCGCCTGCTCCCGTCACTGCAGGTAGCGTCGTCGCTATGGCTGCCGGGATCGCGGCGGACTCTCTCCCGCCCGCCCGCCATCGCGAGACGTCACGGGGCCCCGCCCCTCCTTCCTTCCTTCCCTCCCCGGCGCCATGTTAGGTCCGGCTGGCGGTGGGGCGTCGGGGCCGCCGCCGGCTTCGGGGCCTCGTTCCCCCGATGCTTCCCCGCTTCTCTGCGGGGAGGTGGCTGGGGGGGTGGGAAGGGCCTTCCTCTAGCCGGCCCGGCCGCCCTTCAGGGGAATCCCGGCGCCGTGGGGTAGGGGGGTGAGGAGCCCCGCCGGCCGGCGCTCCCCGGACAGCAAGGCGAGGGGAGGCCCAGCGGCGGGGAGCGGGGGATTTTGCAACCGGGCCGGCTACTCCTCTCCTCCAGGAAGTTGGGGTTTTTTTTGAGAATAACTTACCTCATCTCATGGTTTCTGAGGCCTGACCCCTTCCCGCAAGGGTTCCTGGCCCCCCTCATGGCTCTCCCCGCCGTTGGCCTCAGGGCTGCTCCGTTTCCTGGCGCGTGCGGGTTCCCAAACCCGGCTTCGGGTTCCCGTTAAGGCGCCGCTCCGGCTCCGCGCCGTCCTGCCGGTCGCTTGCCCGTCGTCCGGCGGGAGAGTCGGCGTCTCTCGCCCGGGCTGAACGCAGGGTAAAAGCGGTAACGAGTCGAACGTACGGTCACGGTTCTCGAATCGTACAGCAGCGCAGCTTCGGTGGGGCATGTTGTCTCTCTAGACATGTTTCTGTTGTTGTTAACCTTGGTTCTGTGTTCCTCCTATTAATGTCTTTTTATTAAATTAAACTATTTGTGGGCTTCAGCTCGCTTTATGCATATCTGCTATCATGGTTTTTTCCTGACTTGGGCTTCTAACCCCTGTACAAAAAAAAAAAAAATGCAGCAGCATAATCGCCACCTATGATCATCCCCAACTTTAAGATTATTAATGCAGAAAAATATTTTTGTTGCAAGTCAGGTGAATAATTGAGATTTATATTAAGCCATCCAGTCAGCAGGATTGCAAAATCTTTTACCTCTTGCCAGACTTTACCCACCAGTGAAATGAACGCACTCCTGTGGTGAAATAAACACAGTAGCCATTAGTATTTCACAATAACATCATGAAACAATCCAGGACAGTAAGTAATATATTTTGTCTATTTAAAATCGTGGAAGACATTAAATAAAAAAAAAAATCCATTTTGCAACTTAGCCAAGATGTGTGTGTTAGCACTCACCTTTTTCCAAATACTACCTTCTGCAGGTCTAATAGTTGCTAGTAGTTCATTAACAGTTTCAAGTCTTACAGCCCCAAATTATATAAACTACAGTTAAATTATTATATATAGAAATAATAATCTTTTGTCAGAATTTCTGAAAATGTATGCAGTGAAAACTGGTAAATTTTTTTGTTTGTTTCTTGACAAGTGTCAGCTCATAGAGTTTTAACACATTTTAAAATAAATTGGAATTCTTGTTTTTAAACAGACTATCAGCCTTCAGCCTTCAGGATACATTCAGAAAATTACTGTGTTTTTACTGAGTATTAATCAAATGCAGGGTCTTCCTGATTTTGGAAACTTGTTTCAGGAGAAGCAGCAGACATAAACATGCTTCAGAGATATTCAAATTAATAATAAACACAATGATCAGATTAGAAAAACCGTAATTTAAAACGCTAGGCTTAGAAGCATATTAATTAGCCAAGTTAATATTTTCCAGTTCATCCAGCTGGATTTACAGAGAAAGTTTAAAATCTCTAAAAGCAGGTTTTAGGTGTCCTTTTATAAGATTCCCAGGATTCAGCTGTGGTTTTTCTATCACACATTTAATAACATTTGCATCCACTGGCCACCTGTTGAAAACCAGAAATTGTGCTGGTCTCCTTCCTCTTCCACCCGTCTATCGCTGCAGCTTGTTTCTAGGTTATTTTGTTATTTTAAGAGCCCTGTTTTAAATTAAAAGTGAAAACTCTTGCATGCATACGAGTAGGAGTCGGTGTTCTTCTGTCCTTGTTGCTAGTGCCTGATGCTTCAGAGAGCACAAACCCCACACCCCTGACACTTGTGCAATAGTGTGCCCTTGAGAGAGATTATGTGCCATCCCAGACATTATTAAAGGTACCTACGTACCATCACTATTTAACCAGCACTGATGTATGCAAAAATATTTTTATCAAGCATACCTGCTTGATAAACTCACTGGTGCCGAGCTTTTTGGTTTTGGGGTGCGCACAAAGCCTGGCTTGGCACAGTCCTACTGCTCTTCTCACTGCCTTGCCAGCATGGCTCAGTGCTTTAGGTGGATGAAAAAATTATTGAGAGGATGTATACCAGTGTGCCTGTATGCCATGTGCTGTGGGTAGACTGCTCATCTGCGATGTGGGAGATGGAGACTACTGTCATGTGTGGCAGTAACTAGAATTATCTCAGATCTGTGGGAAGTTCTTTCCTTTATCATTAGGTTATTGTTTCTTTCGCTTTCTCCTTCTCAGGCTACTTTCTTTTGCCTGAATAATTAACTATTTCTGGGATCAGAGGCAGATCGAGGTTGCAGTCCTTGTTACGATGCTGGTAGAGCAGGGAAAAGATGAGAGGAAAAAATGTGGATGAAGAAATAGTGAGAAATACAGATGCAAAGGAGTAGAGACATAAGATGCAGTAGAGAATCTGCGACAAGTTTGTCAGGTCAATTTAAGTGTGATCTGAGGTGTAAAAAAATTCTGTTCCTGTGGCTAATATTTGGTCCTTTGATTTTTTACCTACCTTAGAAACCACTGCGAGTTACCTAAAAGCATTGGCTAGTTTTCTGTTACATAAAATATTGCCTCCTTGCAGCACGAAACCTGAGACTGGAGTCTGCAGATACAGAATGCTCCTGAATGACTCTGTCGTGGTTTTGGTTGCTGTGGTGATTATCCATCTGTTTAAATACTTTATACGGGAGATTCTCAACTCGTTTACCACAGAGGAGATTTTCTTAAGTTGTGAGAAACACAGCATTATGCCTGATTCCGTAATTTTCACACTTGATTAGCAAAAAATTCCACTTTATCTGCCATGGCATAAGGTCACTGTGTAGTATTTAGATAGAGAGGGTATGGCACTGGGTTCTGTGGTCACTGCTAGCCCAGTATGCCTGTAACGTTGACACATACTTTATAGTGGTGCAGTGGGAGAGGCTGACTGCAAACAACTTATGAGGGGGCCTCCTTTAATGAATCCTCAACCTGAAGCAGTTACACAAAATATATTGTACATTTACAAAGTCTGATAGGAAAAGAACTAGCGTGCAGACAGGAGAGAGCTAAACATTTTGTATATCTGAGTCTTACCTATAGCTCTTAATTCATTTAATACTTAATAGCGAATATTCTTAATGTGATATTTGGGGTTTCTTGACAGTTGCCTTCGCCATGGCACAACATGGGAGATCCTCTTTGACTTTGAAGTAACTCAGGAAGTGAAGTGACGTATCTGCATTTCCATTCACGCCCATGTTGTGTTGTTTTTCTCTTGTCTTTCTGTGCAAAATGATTTGAGTTTTCTTTCTAATTAATACCAATTTATAAAAAAATCTTCATAAAAGATCTTTTATTCATTCTAAAGGACCATTTTTCATTTTAAAGGACTCTCGAAAGAAACAAAATACTGCATTCAAACTACCACCTTAAGCAGCATACATGTTCTGACTTATAATAGAAGCAACAATTGCTCAACCTAAACTGTCCAAGCTGTTCTTGTAACTTTAATTCACCAGTAAAAGGTTGGCTTTTTTTTTTACTTGCTTATGTGGCAGCTTTTCAAATTTCCACCCCCCAGTGGCAGCATGCTGTATTCCCATTTTGTGTCACTAGGGACTTAAATGTTCTAGCATGTTTTTGGTTTGGGGGGGTTTTTTTTGTGTCAGAGGTTAGATTGTTTGTTTTTATGACTAATAATGTGGACCTTGGGAGCCACATATCTAAGCACCGTTGAGGAAATACCTAGACCTCTGTTAAAGTGTAATCCCTTTCAGGGCATGTCTATACAGGAGAGTAAAGACAGCTCGGAGCTCTCTGCCCATGCTGCACACTGGCTGGAGGCAAGCCAGTTCCACCTTAGAAGTCCTTTAGCTCAGCTCTCTGCCCGTGCTAATGGGTCCCTGAGATGTGCCTATGGACGTGGTGAGCACAGCATGTCAGAGAGCCATATTTGCTGCAGAACAGATAAAATGATTTGGGGACAATATAGCCTAAAGCGTAGCTGTCTTTAAAATACTAAATATAAACAAGGGCAGGTTTCATGCATGCTCTTTCTTGAGCACAAGGTCGGTGTAAGATCTAAGCGATTATTCAAGTCCCTCTCAGATCTTGTACTGAGTGAATTTTGCCCAAAGTATACTTGCATTACACTTCAGACAGGTATCAGGGTTCACTTTTGTGTACTTGGTGTATTACGGTCCTTCACGTGGGAGCTCCTGACACACGCCTTGCTCCATGATGCTGTATGAAAGAAGCCATAATTGAGTCTTAGACACCATGGTATTTATAATCATTTAGAAATCTCAGAGAGAACAAACATTTAGAGTTTTATAGACAGTCATCATCTTTATGAAGTGTAGAATCTATTTCTGCGTCGTCTGTAGGACCCTGCTGAGAATCTCCATTGTCCTGCTCATCAGAAAGCTGCAAACCCAGCATGGGCTCTGCCTCTTTCAAGGATGTGCGCATACATCTCTTATAAATAAGCAGTTATGGTTGTTTCATTAGACCTCTAATAACATCTCTATTTCATGTTCCTTCCAAAGATGTTTACTTCAGTGTTGACACATATTTATAATGTCATCTCAAAAGTAAGAGGCTATCCTGTCAGATTTACAGCTGTTATAAAATATGATGCTATCCGCATACAAATGGACAGTAGGAGCCTTACAGACATTTTCCCTATTATTACTGCCTTAGGAAGCAATAAAAATTTAACATTTACCATTGGGAAACACCTGCAGAGATTAAATTAAAACTAG